AAGATGAATGGTGACCATCCAAACTGTCACCAGCTATCTGAATCCGTCAGAAAATGTTCCCGCCGTCAGAAACTGACTTCACTGTCAGAAACTGTCAGCCACGTCTCGTAAACCGTCAATGCCCAGCTCTTGCTACGCTGGGACTCACACTGTTCCTTGAAGTTTCTCAGAAACGCTTAGTAATAACGGACAAAAACCCAAAACACCGATTGGCTACTCGAGAATTCTTTATTGTAACACCAACATATATCCAACTTTAAAATTAAGCTTTAACTAAGGTCTATGAACAAATATTATAATAATAAATCACAACATTACTTCTGACAGTTTAGGCCTGAAATGGAAAACAAACAGAAAACTCAACACACTGCAAGCATACCCACAGCGCAATCTCGCACATCGCTGACGACCTGCGCCTCCAGATAGAGACCCCCTCTTGACATCTTGCAACACAATCGCCACTTGCTAGAATGACTCTTGCAGAATACAACGTGACCATAGCACCAACTCATGATACTCTACGCACATCCTCTTATGTACTCACTACCAATAACAATAACAATAATAACAATAATAATTTCGCTTTATTCCAGAAACAGTACTTGTGTAGGGGACTAATATTAGATTTCACTAACATTTCAAGTATAAAAGTAATAATCCAAGTCAGTGGAGCGTTAAATCACAATTTATTACCAAAAATACAGTGACGAGTTATAGCAACAAAAAGGATTACTTGAAGATAACGTCTAAGTCCTCGGCTACAAATTAATTATATAATCCACGGGCACGTTAATTGTTTGGACTACGTCTGCTGTAGCTGCTGTGTTCCGGTTGTAGAAATGTCTTCGGTTGAGAGTAGTAGGCTCCTACAATAAATCCGAAGTATACAACACGGTGTGAGTGGAGCAAGTAAGCAGAAGTGACCAGGGAGAAGACGAAGTCTCCAACAGCAGAGTGTATTTTTCAATTGTACACGGAAGTTATGTATATTTCAACAAGAAGCGTTTTAAACAAAAATTATGTACAATATCTCGAATTTATACAAGTAACCAAAAAGTGTACAATCACATTGTTACGTACTCAACACTTGTGGTACAGTGTGGAATTTTCAGCACATATCTACAATATTGCATCTAATTTCATCGTACATTTAAAAGGAGTATTATAAAAAAAACAAAATATTTAAAAAAAGCAAAAAAAACAATAACAAAAAAAACCAAAAAAGAAACACAGAAATAACAAAAAAAATGCAATAAAAATACCGAGTAAAAAGGAAGATAAACACAAATAATGAAAAAATATTTCAGTATTGGTTAGTGGAAGCTACGATATGAGTATGCGTGGTGAACAGTAACAGCTATAATCATGCGGGACTAACTGTGATAAGAAACCCATCCAATGGGTGCGGTCTGAATGAGGTGTTAACGCAGAATTCATTTGTCAATCGAGGGGTGCGACCACCTGCTTTGTTTGAAGATGACAGGCTCCTTTGCGAATTTCGTCTGATCCTAGAAACTCCGAAGAGTTGTTGTAAAGCTGTGAGTCGAATTGATCTCCTCTTTCCGTAGTTATTGATATAGACATGCCAAAGGTTGCTAGGCTTTTCGACTACTCCGCTACATTTCCCAAATTTCATAAAACTCTCGTTCCTGTAAAATTTCATACCAAGAGATTGCGGAAACTATTACAATTATTTACCTTTCGAACACTTAATCTGAGGATATAATCCTATTGACATATGATACCGATAACTAACAGTTTAGATTTGTGAAATTTTTAAACAAAAACACATCTATAATTGTATATATTGTTGGATCTATATGTTCAAGTTGTTCCAAAACAGTGAGTATATGGTTGAGATATCATTTTAGTTAACTGTGCTGAACTATATTGCATGTTGTTGTATTGTATTGTTGTTGTAGCTTTTTGGCCTTTTTGCTGTGAACTGTTTTCCTTTTCCTGGTGTTGTTCTGATTGTTTTGTCCGTTATTTTCCGATTTTGAGGGGAGCGAGCCATAAGGTCGCTTCTCTCTAAACTTTATCTTAATGTAACAATTCCCTTCTCAGGCGTGAGGCTAGCAACCCCACACTGTAAACAAAATTGCTACAGAAACTTCAGCACAATGAACCTCTTTGCACCAAAAGAAAATGTCTGTGTGGGGACATGGAACATCCCCACTATGTACGAGACTGGGACAGCTGCCCAGATCGTAAACGAGATGAAAAGATACGGAATCCAAGTGCTGGGAAAATGTAAAAGCAGATGGAGTGGGAGTGGACTCACCAAATTGTCAACGGGTGAGTCAGTGATCTACTCCGGTCACCCAGAAGATAACCACACGCACACCGAAGGCGTGGCTATCATGATGTCACCAACGGCAACAAAGGCCCTGATGCAATGGGAGGCGATCTCGTCCGGGATAATGACCACCAGATTCAACTCCAAAGGAGGGAAACTGTCAATCATACAATGTTATGCACCCACAAACAACGCAGACATCGAAAAGAAAGAAGAATTTTACAGACATCTGCAGGCAGCAATGGGCAATACTCCAGCTGGTGACATTAAAATACTAATGGGAGACATGAAAGCCAAACTGGGGCCAGACAACACAGGAAGGGAATTCATCATGGGTAGAGAAGCTCTCGGAGAAGTGAATGAAAATGGAGAACTCTTCGCCGACTTCTGCGCCTTCAACGAACTAATGATTGGTGGAAGCGTATACAAACACAAAGATATCCACAAGGCTACATGGGTGTCACCAGATGGGCAAACCAAAAACCAAATTGACTCCATCTCAATGCTGTTCAAGGGAGCGGAGCGCGCAGCCTACCGGACACAAAAGCAAGAAGACGAGCAGACGTTGGCTCAGACCACTATCTCGTACAAGGAACAATCCAAATCAAATAAAAAAATTAACAGTAGCTGCAGATAGACCACAAGCCAAGTTCAACACTCAAAAACTGAAGGACCAGGCTACAAAGGACATCTTCATTGCAAACATAAGGGTAAAAGCCGAGACACAAATCAACACCAGCGAAGAGTTCGGCGTCGAAAAGCACTGGGACAACTTGAAAACGGTGTGGAGTCAAACCTGCATGGAAGTTCTAGGCAGAAAAAAGAGACAGGACAAACAGTGGCTCACTACGGACACTTGGAAACTAATAGAAGAGAGAAGGACAGTGAAACAAAAGAGTATCCAGTGCACTGACGAGCAACAAAAACAGGAGCTGAATGCAAGCTACAATACACTGAACAAAAGAGTGAAGGAGAGTGCCAGGGAAGACAAAAGAAAATTTTATGAAGCCATGTGAAGTGAAGCAGAACAAGCTGCAGGCAAAGAAGAATTCGCCACACTCTACCAAACAACTAGGCACCTTTCGGGCAAAAGTTCGACACAGATTAAGCCACTAAAGGGTGACAATGGAAAGTCAATCACCAAAGAGGTGGAGCAAAGAAAACACTGGGCTGAACACTTCAAAAGACTTCTAAATCGTCCGCCACCTACAACACGCCCAACAATACCAACAACGGTAGCAGAAATACCAGTGAACATTGACCCCCCGACAAAATCAGAAGTCCTGAATGCAACCAAGATGCTAGAAGCTGGGAAAGCAGCAGGACCAGATGGAATCCCAGCAGAAGTTTTGAAAATAGACCCAGAGACAACAGCGGACTTGATGACACCACTACTGGAGAAGGTGTGGAAAGAGGGCAAAGTACCAGAGGATTGGAAGAAAGGATACTTATTCAAACTACCAAAGAAAGGAGACTTAAGTCAATGTAAAAACTTGCGTGGAATTATGCTCCTGTCCATTCCAAGCAAAATACTAAGCTACACCATCCTGGAGAGAATCGAACAAGCCCTGGATGAAAAACTTCGACCGGAACAGGCCGAATTCAGGAGAAACAAATCATGGATTGATCAAATCGCCACTCTACGGATCGTCGCTGAACAAAGCTTGGAATGGCAGTCACCTCTCTATCTCAACTTCATCGACTTTGAAAAGGCCTTCGACAGACGGCGTCGATCAAGAGGTGATTTGGCAACTACTTCGCTACTACGGGGTTCCATCG